CACACTGAGATTCCATCTCACTCCTGAAAGAATGACCAGGATCAAGAAAACCACCACCAATAAATGCTGGAGAGGCTGTGTCAAAAAAGGAACTCTCCTGCACTGTTGTTGTAGACTGGTGCAATCATTGTAGAGGTCAGTCTGGAGATTCCTCAAAATGCTGGGATTGGAAATCCCATTTTTTCCAGCTATTCCACTTCTAGGCATAGTCCCAGAAGAACTGAAAGCATCATACCACAGTTATAGATGTGTATCCATGTTTATAGCAACACAACTTGAAATAGCCAGATCTTGTAAACAACCTAAGTGTCCATCAACTGAGGAATAGATAAAAAAGGTGTGGTATTTTTATACAATGGAATACTACTGAGCTATAAAGATTGATCACATTGAGATATTTATAAATAAATGAGGGTGTAGCTTGAGACCATACTCATAAGTGAAAAAAATCAAATTCACATCAATGAATATCGAATAGTTTCCTTAGCGTAAGAAATGATAACAATACAAAAAAGTATGTGATAAACACGATTCCCCATTATATGGCTTTGAAGACTTATAATGTTTTCATTCATTAATTGAAATGGTTTTATTCTGATTTGTTTGATTGTATCGTCTGTGATGGTTTGAACAGCTATTCCGAAGAAAACAAGACATCATAATAGCTAGTGCTGATTTAATATCATCTTGATTTGAAGTCCCATCAATCTTTTGTTCTTCTGTCTACAATGGTCTTATCATGTTGTATCTTATTGGATTTTATTATATGTGATAGTACAAACAAACTTTCATAGACAAGAAGACAATATAAAAACCATTTTTTATTTTCTGTTAGTTGGTTCTAAATACCCTGTAATACTTTCATTTTCTTGAATGGTTTTACACTGTCTTGATATATTCAATGCTATAATATATGAAGTTACACTCAAATAAGTTCAAATAAAGAGACACTATGGTAACGACTGGTATGGCAGATTATATTGTGGTATCTATGTTGCTTAAATTGTTCTGTTCTGACCTGTGATGTTTTGTTATGTCCTCTTTTATCTCAATCTCCTTTTTTATTTATTTATTTTTATTTTTAATTAAAGGACAAATAAATTAAAAAATAGCAGGATATATTATAGTAACCATTTTGATTTCCTATTAAATTGAATTGAAGCCCTGTATTGCTCCCACCATCTTGTTTTGACTGATTTTACTCTATTCAGTTTTGTTTGATAGAATCAAGTTTGAGGGTATAGGCAACTACTTTGAAGACAATAAGATTCACTATGATTCCCATTCTGGTTTAACTATTATCTTCTTTTGAAGTCCAGTAATGTCTTCAAAGTTTAGGTTTTATTGGTTTTATTCTGCACTGTTTTGTTCAATTTTATTATATCAGATGATATAGGTGATTCTTCTTAAGGCAAGAGGCATTACAGTTAACCATTGTTGATCACCTTGTACTCTGTTTTTACATCATGTACTATGTCTATCCTTTTGATTTGACTGACTCTGTTTTGTTTTGTCCCATTTGGTTTTATTGTCTTAAAAATTAGTAAGAACTATGGGAGTAATAAAACCCAAATGTGTAATTGTTATTGTAAAAAAGAGAGGAAAATAAATTGCTCTAAAGGATATAAGTTTATGCATATTTAAGTATATAATATAGATACTGAGTTTTTGTGGGATCACTGAACAGAACTGTTTGCAGTCTCACTGTTTGAATATCCACTTTGTATGCTTTAATTTTGTAACTTGAACAACTATTTCTAAGATGACAATATGTAATCTATTAACTAGTGATTCTTACTGTTTATTATTTTGAAATTCTGTATTACTTTTTACATTTTTTTCTTTTTTCTTTTTCTATTTTTTTTCCTCTTTAAATAAAAATAAAAAAGCCTCAGCTCTTGCTGGTTATGTAACTATAAACCCTACACAGGGCATCATTTATACCCTGTATTTAGTAAGTTGATTAAACAATTCAGCTACTTTTATAGAAAGTTAAGACAACAATCATTGCATTATGTCAGGAGAGTTAGACTTCTTTCAAAATTTTATAAAAGTTAGAATATTTGTGTAAATAAATATTTCAGCTTTGCAAACATATTAGTAGTTTATTTAGCCAGCATTGTAGGTCAAACTTTATAAAGAGACTTTAAAAGGATGCTTAATAAACACATCTCTCTGAGATTTAGTTTTCCTAAACAATCAAAGCCTAAAAACCTATCACCTATCACCTATGGCAAATGTCAACCCAAACCCATCAACTATCACCTATGGAAAATGTCACTATTTATCATGTGTTCATGCAGTGAAAATGGGAAGTGGAAAGAAGAAACTGGGAGCAAGGACTTGGGGCCAGATGGCCAGCACTGGAATCTGATCTTGAATGGCTCTATCTGTGTGAACTTAGTTCACCAACTTCTCTGATTCCAGTTGTAGTGGGTATTAAATTAATTAATGCATGTGAAATTCTGCCCGCTTGCAATAGTCAATATGTTTTAGCTGGTAAAAGCAAGCTGTATAGAAACTTATAAAATACTACAAAATTGAGAAATCTCTTTTGTTCAGAAAGAAAGATTCATCCTTATGTTGGTTATCTGTTTAGTAAGTAAAAAAGACAACGAATACATATTCAGAATGATAATGAAGGTCATATGTAAAATGTCCTACACCAGGAGCTCTGGTTCAGGCAATACAAAATATTGGTTTTACACTGGATATGCTATCTTGAGAAGCTTGAAATTTGAGGAACAAGACAAAATACTATGAATTTAACCAATATTTATAATTCAACAAGCATAGAACAAATAGATTTCATTACTGTTACCTCATTTGTTGTGCACAGTAATGGGCTTATTGTAACTTTTCCTATATGCACATAAAATATGATTTGATTGTCTATCTGCCAATCAATCTCTTCCATTTCCCAATCACTACTGCTCTTCCTCTTTCCTGATAGTGCACTTCCCACTCTCACGTCTTTCAAAAAATAGATTCCATTTTAATCTGACATATTTTGCCAGATCATGAATTTCATCCATTTTCCTGAAAAGGATGATTTTGATTTTATCATTGAATAACTTTCCATTATGCATATACACAAACACACACACACATGTACACACACACACACACACACACACACACACACTGTTTATTCATTGGCAGGAATCCAGACTCATTCTTTATCATGGCCATTGTGAACTGTGCCAAGGTAAACACTGATATGAAGGTGTCTTTATAAAATGGTGACATTGACTTCTTTGGCTATGTACCAAAGAATATATATTAAGAAGCGTGTACCTGGGTAATATGTTAGGTCCATTTTGATTTTTTAACAAATCTTCAGGCTGATTTACATAATGCATGCTAATTTACATTTCCATAAACAGTATATAAGGATTCTTTTCCCCCTGATCCTTGCCAGCATATTAAGTTTTGTTTTTTATAATGGGCCTTGGGGTGAGGTCAAGTCTCTGTACTTTAAAGTTTCTTTTTATTTTATGAATGTGTGTTTGCAGTACTTAAAGTGTCCATTCATCTTGGGGTGTAGGTACCTGTATAAAACACAAACTGTTTCTTCTTATTAATCCCCTTCCTCGCCCATTGTCATTCTGTTAGTAATTATTTCTAACTCACACTTATGACAGTCAGTGTTTTACACTTATTGAGGATGTTAGGCTCCAGTACCTGGCACAGTTTAATCCTTCTTACTTCCCCTTCCCATCCCCTCTCCCCTCCTTTCCACCCCCTTGACCCCTTTCCTTTGGAAGAGATCTGTCCTGGTTCCTTTCATCCATCCTGACCTGCCCTTTATTTGTACCTTGCCTAACTCAGTGAGCGATGACACATGGTCTTGAAAGCTTGTGGGTCTGATTTGACATGTGTTTCCCTGATGACTAAAAATGTTGAACATTTTTCTCATATTTATCAAACCATTTATATCTTTTAATTTGAGAATTGTGCATTCAGCTCACTTGCCTGTTTTGATTGATTTACTTGTTCTATTGATGATTTGCTTTTAGTTCCTTAAATACTCTGGATATTAATCAACTCTAAAATGAGTTACTGGCAAAGACTTTCTCTTATTCTCTTTACTTCACTGTTTTCTTTCAGTGCCTAAACTTTTAAATTTGAAGTAATCGTTCTTTTCAATTCCTAGTGATATTCCTGGCACTACTAGAGTCCTTCACAGAAGATATTTGGCTATGCCAAAGTTTTAAACATTTCTTCTGTTTTCATATAATGGTGTCACAGTTTGGGGTTTATATAGATATTTTAAACCTATTTGAATGATTTTTTGTTGTTGTTTTACTAAGTGTGAGAGAGGCTTCTAACTGCAGTCTTCTATTTGTGCATGACATGTTTCCCAGCACTGCTGGTTGAAGAAGCTGCCTTTCCTCTTACATTTGTTTTTGATTTCTTTATTAACAATCAGAATGGCTGAAGTTGCATGGGTTTGTTCCTAGCTCTTCTGTTCGGGTGGTGTGTGTGTGTGTGTGTGTGTGTGTGTGTGTGTGTGTGTGTCTCTGTGTGTGTATTTTTATACCAGTACATAGCTTTGTCCTTCAGTACACTGCTTCTGGTCATGACATGGTCCTTTCTTTGTTACTTCTGTGGAGAGGAAACCAATAGTGTGATCTGGTGGATCTAGTTGCTGGTTGGCTGGGGAGATTCTCAGTTCCAGGGATACAAGCTATTGGGTTTTCTCATGTTTGAGGGCTCTCAGACAGTGATCTATGTTCTCAGTGAATGTGATGAATGAAAAATGGAGAGACTCTTGAGAGTTTCATTCATGACTTCCTCTTGGATCCTATGCTATGAGTTTGGTGCACTTGGGAAATGTCAATGAAAAAAACATACTCAAAAAATCCTTCCTATAAGACTGAAAGTTTTAAGGGCTATTCGAGCATCTGTGATAGTTGGTGGGGACAGTGAAAAGACTATATCTTAAAAACTAGTCAGCATCACTGAATGACTACGTGTGTGTTTCTCCCTTTAAACAGGGGTGAGCAGCCTGCATGTGCGGGAGCAGAGTTCTTCCTTCCTGAGTGTCCAGGAGGGAACACTCGCCATTCTGAACTGCACTACTGGGGAGAGAACCCGCCTCAACTTCCACTGGTTCCGACAGAACCCTGGGAAGGAGCTTGTGTCTTTGACCTCCATTCAATCTGGTCAGGAAGAGCAGATGGACAGACACTTTAAAGATCAGATTGGGAAGAGCAAGTTATACAGTGTTCTGAACCTCCCTAGCCCCCAGCTTGGTGACTCAGCCACATACTTCTGTGCCTTGCGGCACTGTGCTCCTCCAGCACCTGTGGCCCACACCACAACCTGCAGCTGAGCTGCTTGACACAGGTCCAGCCTGTGTGACCAAGAGAGGGGCTTTCATTACTCTAGGGGGAGGGCTCTGCTTTACACTCTCTGTCTCCCAGTAGGGAAGGCTGATGCCCCGTCTCGTGTGTGAGGAATCTGAATTTACATGGAGTTAAATTTTGCTCTTCATTGTTTCATTCTTCAGTGCCCATTATACTGCTCCTGGGCCTGGTTGCCCACAGAGCCCTCCACTGTGTGGACTTTTCTCCTCAGAGGTACAAACCCTTTGTGACTCAGACTCTGAGCCCAGGGAACAAGTTTCACCATAAGGCCCCTTAGCAGGAGTAATTTGTGAATTTGTTGATGATCTTCATAATATTTCTGGATTTGTGTGCTACCTGTGTCATTGGTAGCACTGTTTACTTACTTTAATATTAAGCTGACTTTTAAAAATCTGCATTAAAATTACTCTTGTTTTAATGTCAGACATGCTGGTTGTATTTTTTCCCAACAAAATTTGAAGCAACATTTTTGTATAACATTTAAGAATATCAACTCTGTATTGCTTGATTTTCCCTCTTGTATCAATGATGCTTTAGGAAACACTCAGTGTGGGACATTCATTTAATTTATGAAATAATCAGGATGCAGAAAAATGGTGTGATGATGTAATGTATAACCTAAGAACAAGAACCCAGGAATAGAAGCTGGGTATTCTGACCTGACAGTTGCTAATTCCATAAAACATGCAAACACATCCAGAGTCTGAAGGAAAGATCCTGTTATGTGTTGTAAATTAAAATATCTTTTAATTATATTTTTATTTTGGATAAGATACAAAATATAAGTACTGAGGTATAAATAGAACATTCCATAATCTATGGCCTAAAAATGACAACTAATGTGATTTTAAAAGTTAGGGGCACAAATATACAATGTTATTTTTAATGAAAAGGGATTATTATACATCCAGTAGTTCTTGAGTGCTGGTCTTTCTGAGTAATATATTTAGATTTTCCATGCCAGCACTCTTTCAAGACAGCAAATGACAAGAAAGTTTATTTTAAAGTCTGACCTACACTTTATGCTAGTGAGCTGTTCCATTTCTTTTTTTTAACTTTATTTAAGGAGAAAAAAGAAAAAAATTATTTAAGGAGAAAAAAGAAAAAAAACAGAAAAAGGGTACAAGAAATACAGAATTTCAGAACAAATACAGTAGGAAATCACTAGTTAATTACATATTGTCATCTTAGAAATATTTGTTGAAGTTACAAAAAAATTATCAATTTTTGATATTATTTCTGATTATTCAATATTCCGTATAACTCATTGTACTGTTGTTTTATTGTAAATAAAGTTGCTTGAATTAGGGAAAACACATGTCACAGAATGCCAAATTTCAATGAAGATACTATTCCCAAAACTTTAATTTCAACAGTCCCAATAATTTATTAACTCTTCATGTTATTATTTATAAGTAATTTCCATTTTATGTGAAAGCTTTTACAGTGTTTCATTTTTGTTCTGTTAATGTGTGAGGTTATACATTTTGTTCTTAAAAAATACATAAAACAGGGTGAGAAAATACCAGAGCCCTTGACATACAATTGGTATCACTTTCCATAGGTAAATATATGTTTTAAACTTCAGAAAGTGTTGTCCTGGTCCCTTTTCACTGGCTCTGCCTCTCTCAAGGCACCAGTCTTCAGGCTTTCTCCATCTGAAGAACTCTGGTCTTCCCAGGCACAGGGTTCCCCGAGTCTGGAAAGGAGCACAGCCTGATGGGTTTGCAGAGCGGCTGGTCCCAGTGTAAATCCAAAGCTCTCTCTCCTTGCCTGAAGCGCATCAGTGGCATTCTACTGCTCATGGGATAAAAGGTGAATGACAGGCAGCACACATGGGTCCACACAGTGTGAATCTGATCTTCAGTCACCACTCCTAACTTCATTGTCACTCTCCGTGTTGTGACCGCACTGGTGTCCTTCAGGTTGTTGAATTCTGTTTCCAAGTTTCATTTTACTCTTTCATTCATCTGAAATGTTCTTCCCCCAAATCCTGGCCAGCCTCACTCACTGTCACTCTTCAGGTTGCAGCTCTAATATCAGTCACTTTACAGAAATCCTCTGACTTCTGCTGATCTTTCTACCCGCAATGACTGTTCACAGCACTCCCTAAACCTCCACAGCACACTGGCTACTTCTTTTGCAGTAGGTACGTTGCTGACTTATATGTCAAAGCATGGAGTGCTTATTCCTTCAGTCAGAATACAAGATTTACAGCATCAAGGGTAGTTGATTCATGACATTATCATTAGTGTCCAGGCTAATATCTCGTCTGTAGCAATCAGTACCTGGCAAATATCTGGCAAATGACTTAATGGGTAGATGAAGGACCAAGTGTTGCTTGGCTCTTTCCTTTCTCTTCATTTTTTCTTTCTCTCATTCCCACAGCAAGTCCACTTAAGTTTATAATTTTTGTTTCACTATCAGGACAGCTCAGTTCTCCCCAGCCTACTCCCCAGATTCTGATTCCTGCTTTCTTTTGTTCAGGGGGCTCTGGGAAATAGATCAACTCAGGATCTCAGCCTTTCCTCATCCAACCAAATTCACCTTTATCAGATTGATTGACTCAGCTGTAAGGTGAATAAATGCAGGACTTAACAAAAAGCAGAAACAGACCCAACTAGAAGTCATGAGAAACACAAATCGATGTCTCATGTTAAATAATTACACACATGTGTCAAAGCTTTAATTTAAATTATTATGAGTTGAAAAGTTCCTTAGGAAACAAATCCAAGTAATTTTTGTGGACAATTTATTGGAGATTATATTTTAAAAGGCTATTGTTAAAGATTACTAATGTGGTCAACAGACTAGTTAATAATTACTCCAATTTTACTATCTGTTCAATGGCCCTGAGGAAAAAATTCTGTGAAAGGTGGTAACTCAATTTCATGAAAATCCTTATTTTTGTGCAATCTTATTTTCCTGAAATGTACTTGTTTCAGCATTTCATAAAACCTTGAACCAAAAGGCTATGTGCCTGTCAACCTGCTGTAAAACTTTCTAACAAAGGGCTTTCCAGATCACAGAACTAACCCTACCTAACTATGATCTCATTGGACAGTGACTGGGGTTATGTTGTAAGGCCACACTCCTGCCAACAGAGTGAGATACAGTGGCTTCTGAGCTTCAGAGATAAAACCTGAGCAGATGCCTGCTCGGTGTGCTTGCTCTGTTAGTGAGGCACCCTTCAGCAGAAATAAAGTTTGTCTTGTTGAGACACTTTCAAAAGTTCGTAGTTTCCTTTGTCTTGTTTGCAGCACCAAACAATTTGTGCCCAGCAGCTGGTAGACTCCTAAAAGATTTATATTTACGGGCATATCAAACACTAATCTTGCTGAAGAAATATTTATTTCATTAAATCACTTCAGAAAATAACTCAGCTATAAAGAAAGATTGCGGGCTTTTACAAGTAAATGAAGGGTACTTGAGAGCATATTTATAAGGGAAATAAACTCACGTGTGTAAATACCATTTATCTCCATACTATAAGAAATATGAGTAAATATGATCCAAAAAAAGTAATATTATCCAAAATCTACAATAAATATTGTGTAAGGGTAAGAAAATGCTCAAAGGAGACAAATAACTGGGATGGGAAAGGAGGAAAATGGAAGTGAAAAGGAAAAGAACCTAAATTTGTGTTTATATGCATCAGTTAGCTAAAGTGGCTACACTACTAATTTGTTTAGTTCTTGAAAAGAACAGTTACTACTCATGATTAGATCAGTTTTGTGTGTCTATATCTGATAATCAAAGCAAACCTTTTGAAGGTAGCAATATGCAGTGTTACAACCATTTATCATTAAATTCCTATCATCTTATTTTGAAAGCATATACTGTCACTATTTTGAATTTGTTGTTATTTTGAAAGCATATACTGTCACTATTTTGAATTTGTTGTTGTCTTTTATTTTTTGATTTTCTTTTCTCTATTTTTTCTCTTAAATAAATAAATAAACAAGAAAATAGCTTTTATACTTCATTACAAGTGATATTTAATTTCTATGCAGGACTACATATTATATCCTTAAAAATTTTAATTTCAGATCAGTTAAGGGAAACTTAAATTCCTCAAAATTAAATGAAGTGTTCATGTAGTAGGGAGTGTTTTGCAAGTTCTTATATTTTCTTCTTCACAAGTTAACATGTGTATTGTTCTATAGGTGGTGTAAGTAAATACACAGCTTTTGAGTCAGAGACAAAGGCCATTACTGGTGATGATACAGTAAACAGCCTGAGCACCTGTCTGGCTGCTTCAGGGTCTCTTCCAAATCTGGGTGCACAGTGGTGCAGATGGAGGTCTCCTGGTGGTACTGCGTATCACAGTGGAGGAGCTCTGAGTGTGGGGAATCACTGCTTTAATAATAAGCATCCAACAAGTTTGCTCTTTGTCTCAGAAGGGATGCACTGTACCATCCTTCAGGGTTACTTGATGCAAGCATAGCTCTCTGATACAAGGTCCATGAAAAAAATACACTAGCAAGGTAGTAAACTTCAATATAGTAACTGGTATACTCCAGCCCAATGTTACCCAAAATTTACAGTAACCATGAAAATGCTTATCAAGAGAAATGTACCTAAAACTTAGTAGGAGAACTTGGTGGTGCTTTAATTTTCCTTTGCTCCATCTTTGTATCTTCTCTGGCTGCAGGACAACCTTTAAGTGGCAATAAACATTCCCAATGTGGTTTTCTGATGGTGAATATTGTTAGGAAAACATAGTGCTTGAATACTTTGACTGTCAGGTGGTTTTTCAAAGGACTCATGCAAAAGACTTGTATCAATTCCACATAATCCAGAATGCAGCCAAGACTGATGCCTGGTTTGGCAAAGGACATTGTTAAAAAATGAACAATAACAACAGTAGATATATACCAGTACATTTCATCATAAAATGACATACAATGAGAGAGAGAGAGAGAGAGAGAGAGAGAGAGAGAGAGAGAGAGAGAGAGAGAGAATC